ATAATTCGTGATCCTCATTGCAATCTTTACAATGCTAATCTATGTACTTACAATTAGCCCCCATGCTTATTGATAGAAGTATTTCTGTCAATAAGCAAAGTTCTTGGTTTCCTTTTTCTTGCATGCCATATCATTCTATATCTTAAAATGGGTCCAGTGATTCTGCACATGTATTTTGGAATTGAGAGAATGGCTTGTTTGTCCTAGGCTTCCATCGTGGACCGGTGGTTGGGTATGGAAGAAAAGGGAGACATGTTTGGGTCTAAATTTAGAGATCGAGTAGCGAGTCAGGCATGGTGACTTTGTGCTTGTGGGCTTTCAAAGTTGAATTTGCATAGTCTGTTGATTTCATGAGTGGAGGTATACTAGATGATGAATGATAAGATAAATGATGTTTTTTTGTGCCTGAGTACGTGTCGCCTTGGCATTCTTCGCACCATTTGCTAAGTAGCCCCTCTACTTATTGATAGAAGTGATGTTGTCAATAAGCAAGTTGAGTTGGAGGCAGTTGGTTGTTAATGTGGGCAAAGGGGGTCTTCGTGCTGTTAATTGGTTTGGGGTTACGATGTGCCAATGTGTTTTGTGCCAAAACTGTTGGTGTGAAGATTTCCGGTTGAGCTTGGCCACTTGGGTTTAATCAATATGTTAGGTGGCGAACATAGCTTTAAATACATTTAAATATGTGCATGATTGCCTCGATGGGGCATTATTTCGATTTTCTAACAAAACGCTTTGGGATTTGTTTTTTTTTTGGATTTTTGAAAAAAATGAACCATCATGTAGGTTCTTGTATGGTCGCCATGCAATGCCTCGGCATGTGTTGTGTCCTGTTAAAAGGACGAGGGTAGGGCAATGATAGGCTTCACTCTGTATCTTTTTCGATTGCTTTGGCGAGAAGTTTCTCCTTCTATCTTTCTCTTCTCCTTTTGTCCTTTAGGGTTTCTTATTTAAAATTCCCTTTGCTCTTTGGCATCAATGGCTCCCTGCAAGTAGAAACAAGTCACCTAGGTAGTATGCCCCTTCATCACGTATGCATAGATGCTTGATACAACAAAAGTATTGGCTCGATTTGAAGAGGTGAAGGCGAAGGATCTGAAGGGATGAGAGATCCATCATATGGATGGCCGAACCCTACAAGAAGGTTGGGCGAAATTTCAAAAATTTCTCTCTCTCCCACGTGGGAATCACATTCCTATTTTAGAAAACTGCATTTTCAAGGATCAATCTTGAACCTAAACCAGACCATATCTGAAACCAAAAGGAAGTGGAGGGTTATACCTAATACGAAGTAACAATAACCTCCAATGAAGGTGTTCATGCCCAAAGAAAGATTCAAAGACTGCTTCCACCGAAGATGACACGGTGCAGGATGAAGCAGAATCAGCAGGATGACTCTTCAGCAAGAACCTAATTCTTCAGCAAGAATTTGATGGAGGGCTAGTGAGCACGACTTCTGATTACCTTTTCTGCCAAAAGGTAATATCAAGAACACTTCTTGATCGCTCCCACAGGTGGAGATCGAA